GCCCAATTTTTCAGTTTTTTATTTGTTAAAAAAGTTTGAAATATCCAATAAATTTCGTTCCACTTCATGATTGTGTCCCACTTGTTGTTGATTCTTCACAAAAAATTACAGTTTTATATCTTTATGTTTGAAGCCTGAAATGTTGCAAATGGTCGCAAAGTTCAAGGGGGCCGAATACTTTCGCAAGGCACTGTATGTATATATATATATATATATATGATAACAATACAAGATAACAAGTCCTGACTTTATGAGGAATGATGCCTCAGTGATTCAGTAGTGTGCTGTCTGCCCACATGTGCTGTGGGTCTGAAAGGCTCGACACTGTGATGTAGTGAAAAGAAATAAAGGCTGTATTCCTCACCTGGTCATAGGTCCAGACAGCGCTGGCCAGCTCCACACAGAAGATAACTAAAAGACTGCAGAAATACTGAAACACATACAGAAGAAGGATATTACAAATGTGTGTATTTGATGTAGTGCACAATTTATGCAACACACTTCAACACTACTGTGCACTCCTCTGGGTCTGACAGTGGAATCCAGCAGGTGAGACAACATGTATAGAACTCCTCAGAACTGAAACAGATAGTTACTGTAGACCAGGTTTACAGCTTCAAGTCAGAAACATTCCTTTGTTTGTCTGCATTGTTTACTGCCTGTTAATACTGCTTATTTTCTCATATTACACAGCCTTATGCTGGTTTACTGTTTACTTGCCCCTTGCATGGGGATATGTACATACACATTGAGAGCCGATGTACCAGAGTCAAATTCCTTGTGTGTCCGACACACCTGGCCAATAAAGCTGATTCTGAAAGAACAATTTTACACACATAAAAATTCTAACATAGTCAGTAGTTTACCTGCAATTACCGTATTTTCCACACTATAAGGCGCACCTAAAAGCCTTAAATTTTCTCAAAAATCGGCTGTGCGCCTAATACTCCGGTGCGCCTTATGTGTGCACAAAGTTCCAAAATCTGTAAAAATGTTGTGCGACTATGGTAAGCGCTCTGCTTGATTGACTGTCGGACTATTTCCCGCTGACACAGGGACGTATTATGTACACTACGTACGCTGGCAGCGATAAACCAGTCTACACCGGTCTGAGGACCCCCGAAAATGGCACCAGCGAAGAGACATGCTTACGAGGCACAATTTAAACTACAGGCTATCAGTTATGCGGTTGTAAATGGGAATAGAGCAGCTGCGAAAGAATTCAAAATCAATGAATCAATGGTTCGGAAGTGGAGGAAGCAAGAAAATGAACTGCGCCAAGTTAAAAAGACGACAGAGTTTCCGCGGGAACAAAGCGAGGTGGCCACAGTTAGAAGACCAACTTGAACAATGGATTATTGAACAAAGAACAGCCGGGAGAAGCGTCTCTACAGTCACCATTCGACTGAAGGCAACAACGATAGCACAAGACATGAAGATCGAACACTTTCAAGGAGGTCCGTCTGGTGCTTTCGTTTTATGAAAAGGCGTCACCTCTCCATCTGCGCAAGGACTACCGTGGCGCAGCAACTGCCAGCAGATTACAAAGAAAAGCTGGCCATCTTCCGCACCTACTGCAGTAACAAGATTACTGACAAAAAGATCTGGCCCAACCACATCACTAACATGGACGAGGTCCCCCTCACTTTTGACATCCCCGTGAACCATACTGTGGAGAAAAAGGCAACCAGCACAGTATCGATACGCACCACGGGTCATGAGAAGTCGGCTTTCACTGTTGTTCTTGGTTGCTACGGTAATGGACAGAAACTACCACCTATGGTCATTTTTAAGAGGAAGACGCTGCCAAAAGAAATGTTTCCAGCCGGAGTCATTGTTAAGGCCAATCAAAAGGGCTGGATGGACGAGGAGAAAATGAGCGAGTGGCTGAGAGAGGTGTATGTAAAGAGACCGGATGGTTTTTTCCACGCATCACCGTCCCTGTTGATCTGCGACTCCATGCGCGCCCATCTCACCGCTACTGTGAAAAACCAAGTGAAGCAAATGAATTCAGAGCTTGCCATCATTCCGGGAGGATTAACAAAATAACTCCAACCGCTGGACATTGGTGTAAACAGGGCGTTCAAAGTGAAGTTGCGAGCGGCGTGGGAGCGATGGATGGCAGACTGTGAACACGCCTTTACTAAGACTGGGAGGCAGCGCCAGGCGAGTTACGCCACGATATGTGAATGGATTGTGGATGCCTGGGCTAAGGTATCTGCTTTAACTGTTGTCCGAGCTTTCGCGAAAGCCGGCATCATTGCTGAACACCTGGCAACGAGACTGACTCCGACAATGATGAGAGGGAACCCAGCATGTTTGATGGCGAAATTTCCCAGCTGTTCAATTCAGACACAGAAGATGAGGACTTTGATGGATTTGTGGGAGAAGATTGATTAAAAAATAATGTGAGTGTATTGTTAAATAGAGTAAAGTTCAACTAAACTCACTGTTTTGCTTCCGTTACGTTTTAGCATGCGCCTTATAATACGGTGCGCCTTATGTATGGGTTAAGTACAGAAATAGACCCCGTAATTGATTGGTGCGGAAAATACGGTACAAAGATGAGGCCTTGTTCTCTGAACAAAGCAGCTGTACAAGTGACACAGACACAGTCATATGTCTTTAAAAACAGGCCGGTCCTATCAGCAGCAGGTGTATCTATTGTGATGTGGTCTCCCAGGTGTCTCTGGGGTGACTGAGGTACAGTGTGGGCACTTCCTGTCTGTGCTGTTTTCCCATCATCCCCTCTGGGAGGCCATTCATCAGCCTGAAGCTGCGCTCTGTGTCCAAGCATCTCATCTTTCAGTGATACACTGAGGAGACAATCTCATCTCCTCTGAAGGACAACAGAGACACCTGACACCTGGCCCTGCCCACTTAGGGGACAGCAGGCAGGTAATCTGATCACAGGCCAGGACAGACTGATCTCTGTTCTGATCTGATCTAAAAGTATTTAATGAGAAGGACTCAGCTGTGCAGCTGATGTGACACAGACGTCGTGTTGTGAATCGTGTGGAATACCTGCTCCGTGCTGCCCTGGTCTCTGTATATGCTCACCTGCAGCAGTTCAGTCGTTACATTCCTCCCTACACCGACCTTACTCAGGGGGGACAAAGTTGCAGCTAACGGGGGCTGATATCACAAGCTGACATACATACAGTATGTCAGGGACTGCATATGTCACTAACCTGCACACTTTTGTAGCTGAATTTGCTTGTATCGCTGTGTGACTATAACTTGTAGGGAACATGTTCATTTGTGTACGTATATGACCCCACTCTGAGAGACAGAATTAAAGAAAAATTCAGGAAATCACATTGTATGATTTTTAAAGAATTTATTTGTCTTGCACTGCTTAACATAAGTATTTGAACACCTGAGAAACAGCAAGAATTCTGGCTCTCAAAGACCTGTTACTGTGCCTTGAAAAAGTCCACCTTTACTCTACTCATTAATCTAAATTAGTAGCACCTGTCTGAGCTCTTTAAAGACACCTGTCCACCCCACAGTCAGTCAGACGCCAACTACTACCATGGGCAAGACCAAAGAGCTGTCAAAAGACACCAGAGACAAAATTGTGGACCTCCGCAAGGCTGGAAAGGGCTACGGGGCAATTGCCAAGCAGCTTGGTGAAAACAGATCCACTGTTGGAGCAATTGTTGGAAAATGGAAGAGGCTAAAGACGACTGTCAGTCTCCCTCGGACTGGGGCGCCATGCAAGATCTCACCTCGTGGGGTATCACGGATGATGAGAAAGGTGAGGAATCAGCCCAGAACTACAAGGGAGGAGCTGGTCAATGACATGAAGAGAGCTGGGACCACAGTTTCAAAGGTCACTGTCGTTAGAAGACTACGCCGTCATGGTTTCAAATCATGCATTGCACGGAAGGTTTCCCTGCTCAAGTCATCACATGTCCAGGCCCGTCTGAAGTTTGCCAAAGACCATTTGGATGATCCAGAGGAGGCATGGGAGAAAGTCATGTGGTCAGATGAGACCAAAGTAGAACTTTTTGGTCTAAACTTCACTCGTCGTGTTTGGAGGAAAAAGAAGGATGAGTTGCATCCCAAGAACACCATCCCTACTGTGAAGCATGGGGGTGGTAACATCATGCTTTGGGGGTGCTTTTCTGCGAAGGGGACAGGACGTCTGCACTGTATTAAGGAGAGGATGAATGGGGCCATTTATTGTGAGATTTTGAGCAACAACCTCCTTCCCTCAGTCAGAGCATTGAAAATGGGTCTTGGCTGGTTCTTCCAACATGACGACGACCTGATGCACACAGCCAGGATAACCAAGGAGTGGCTCCGTAAGAAGCATATCAAGGTTCTGGAGTGGCCTAGCCAGTCTCCAGACCTCAATCCAATAGAACATCTTTGGAGGGAGCTTAAACTCCGCGTTGCTCAGCGACAGCCCCAAAACCTGACAGATCTAGAGATCTGTGTGGAGGAGTGGGCCAAAATCCCTGTTGCAGTGTGTGCAAACCTGGTCAAGCACTACAGGAAACGTTTGACCTCTGTAATTGCACACAAAGGTTTCTGTACCAAATATTAACACTGATTTTCTCAGGTGTTCAAATACTTATGTTCAGCAGTGCAAGACAAATAAATTCTTTAAAAATCATACAATGTGATTTCCTGAAATTTTTTTTAAATTCTGTCTCTGAGTGGGAACGCACCTACAATGTGAATTTCAGACCCCTCCATGATTTCTAAGTGGGAGAACTTGCTAAAATCGCAGGGTGTTCAAATACTTCTGTTCCTCACTGTAAGTGTATATTGAAAACTTTTGTGTTTTGCACATAACCCCAGATAACTCACATGTAAATAACACATCACACAAAATTCAGTTGTTATTTTTATATAAATATCTACTTGATAATTGACAAGGGAAATAACTCCAGGTCAGGTGATCAGCCGTCTGGTGAGAAACCTACAGAATCTGAATGTGCTGATACAATTTGGTGGGGATGGAAACATACCCAGGACAGTAGCAGCAGATTGCATCTGAGCGTGCCGCAGTACCCCACCATGGCGACAATGAGGAGGAAGCAGCACACAGCGATGACAACAGGATGCACAGCTGGAGAATATGTGAGCACGGCTGCTTCTTCCAGCCTGCACAGGCACAAACAAAGTCAACTGTTTCAGTTGTTACATCTGTGCTGCA